GAGTATGGGGCGAGAGAGAAGGGGAGAAGAAATAGAGAGAGAGGGAAACTGCGAGATAAGGGGGGAGAGATGGAAGGGAGTACTCGGAGGAGAGGCAAGGGCAAGGATGGAGGACTGGGAAGGGAGGCCCCGCTCCCAGAGGGGGATGGGGGTAATAGCGGGAAGCGGGTGGAGCTGCCCTGCTCAGCCGTGACCTCAGAGCCCCTGGCCCAGCTCAGCCCTGACGTCAGCCTTCCTCCCGCCCCCGCCTGCGCTGGTCTTCAAATGACCCCCCAGCTCTCCGGCTACAGAGAGACTCCTCAGAGCGCAAGATGCCGGACAAGAGAGCTGGGCAGGACCCTCTGCGATGAGACAGGTGTGTGTGTGTGTGTGTGTTAACTTCAGCCATGTGGGAGAACTACCATGCGTGTGACCACGTGTGCTAGAGGAACTGTGTGCATGTGGTTTTCCCCGTATGTGTGATTTCACGTGTGTATTCATGTGCATAAGGAGCCCTGGTAATGCAATGGTTAAGCACTTGGCTGCTAACTGAAAGGCTGGCGGTGTGAACCCATCCAGCTGCTCCATGGGAGAAAGACCTGGCGATCTGTTCCCATAAAGATTTAAAAAAAAAACAACAAACTAAACCTGTTTCCATCAAGTCGATTCCGACTCCTAGCGACCCTATAGAAAACCCTTTGTGGCAGCTCTACTCTGTCACATGGGGTTGCTGAGTTGGAATCAACTCTACGACACCTAACAACAACATTCATTGTGTGTGACAGTGGCCACCGTGTGGGACAGTGAGCATGTGAGGCTCAATGTGTGCCATTCCCATCTCTGTGTGTGGGTGGCCATCTAGGGTACATGTACATGAGATGTGACATGTCCCTGTTGATGTACATATTTATCTTGCTGTATGTCTGCGTATGTCTGTGTGCAGGGGAGACAGAAAGAGAGAAAAAGAGAGAGAGAGACAGAGAGAGAGAGAAAGCTTTATTTGCCTGTGACACGTGGGTCCAGATTTGTATTTTACACGTTCAATAAATATTAAGTTGAACCACATGAGATCGCTGATAGTCAACTGCGTTTGACCTATAAAAATAGCAATTTCATATGGTTGAATGTAATCTTGCTGTTACTATTATTTCTTCTCAAACCCTGGTCAGCCCCATTGCCCTAGACCCAAAGGTGGGTGTTTTTGTGTTTCTTGACACGTGGGCATTTCTGCCCAGTGTTACCCCTTCCTGCCGGAGGGTATGTGTCAGTAGGTGCACCTGTGTGGGTAGGGGTGGGAGTCATAGGAACGCTGTGCCTTGGCTGAGGCTGGATGTCTGTAGTCATTTTCAAGAACACAAGTGTTTTTCTATGTGGACACACTCTGTCACTTACCATGTGTGAGAAGATGGGTCCCAGGGCCTGTGTGGGTGTGTGTGTCCACAGTTGATATATGTGTGTTCGTGTTGCTGAGACCTCTATCCTCTGGGTCCCCACCATAAATTAGGCCACCTCCAGGAACTCAGGCAGAGTAAGGTTTGGGGCAAAGGGCCAGAGAAGGAAGATTCTAGAAGAAATAATAATCATTGCTGATATGGAGCAGTTACCCGTATCAAGCCGTGTTCCAAAAGTTCTGTCTCAGTGTTGTCCAACAGAAACATAATTTGAGCCACAGAGATAATCTAAACATTTCTAGTAGCCACATTAAAATATGTAAAATGAAACAGGTGAACTTAATTTTAATAATAGACTTTATTTAACCCAGTGTAACAGAGTCCCTGGGTGATGCAAACAGTTAACACGCTTGCCTGTTAGGCTCGCCGAAAGGTTGGAGATTCGAGTTTACCCAGAGGCACCTCAGAAGAAAGGCCTGGTGATCTACTTCTGAAAAACCAGCTACTGAGTACCCGATGGAGCACAGTTCTACTCTGACACACGTGGCGTGGCTAGGAGTCAACTCGATGGCAACTAGTGGTAACTCAGTGTAACCAAAAACAAACCCGTTGCGGTTAGTAGCCGAGTGCCTAATCGTCTGCACCACCCAGGGACTCCAACAACCGGTTGTCGTCAAGTCTATTCCAACTCATGGCAACCCCATGTGTTTCAGAGTAAGGGTTTTCAATGGCTGTGGAGGCATGGAAGAAGAAAGTCAGGGAGACCAAGAGGCAGACACTCAGAGGCAGACTGACGCGGACTCACAAAGAAGCAGGTGGAAACAGACACAGAGGAAAAAAAAAAAAAAAGGAGACAGAGAGAAACAGACAGGAGCACACAGAGACCCATACAGACAGACGGAAAGAGAGAAACAGAGGCAGCGAGAGAGAAAAAAATGACAAAAGAAAGGTTTTCAATGGCTGTGACCTTTCAGAAGTAGATCACCAGACCTTTCTTCTGAGGTTCCTCTGGGTGGGTTCGAACTGCCAATCTTTCAGTTAGTAGCCAAGTGCTTAACTGTTTGTGCCACCCAGGGACTCCCCCAGTGTGACAGGGGTCAGCAAACTTTTTCTGTTAAAGGCCAGATAGTAAATATTTGTGGTTTTGTGGGCCACAGAGTCTCTGTCACAACTATTCAACATTGATGTTGTGGTGCGAAAACAGCCATAGACAACAGCCACTAATGAGCGTGGCTGTGTTCCAGTAAGACTTTATTTAAGGACACGGAAATTTGAATTTCACATACTTTTCATGTGTCACAAAATATTATCTTTCTTTTGATTTTTTTCAACCATTTAAAAATGTAAAAAATCATTCTCAGTTTGTGGGCCATAGTAAAACAGGCGGTGGGCGTTTGGTCTCTGGCTATGGTGTGTGGACCCCTGATGTATATAAAAAATATTATCATTTTAATATGTAATCAATACAAACATATTACCCAACCCCCAAAAACCCTCATTGCTGTCGAGTCAATTCCGACTCATAGTGACCCTATAGGACAGAGGAGAACTGCCCCATAGAGTTTCCAAGGCTGTAAATCTTTATGGAAACAGATTGCCACATCTTTCTCCTGTGGAGCAGCTGGTGGGTTCAAACCGCCGACCTTTCAGTTAGCAGTCGAGCGCAGTCAAATGCTTAGCCACTGCATCACCAGGACTCCTTACAAACATTTTAATGAGATATATTTCCTTTTTTCTTGTACTAAGTCTGAAATCCAGTATGTATTTACAGCACATCTCAACTCAGATGCTACATTTTCATTGGAAACTCGTAACCTGTATTTAGATATTGGAAGGTTCCTGGGTTTGCACTCGGCTGCTAATCTAAAAGTTGGTGATTCGAACTCACCAGTGGTGCCGTGGAAGAAAAGCTTGGCTATGTGCCTGCATAAAGATTACAGCCAAGAAAACCCTACTGTGTAACACATGTGGTCGCCATGAGTCAGAATCAACTCGACCACAATGGGTTGTTTTGGTTTGTTTGTTGTTGTTAGTTGCCTTTGAGTTGATTTCGACTCATGGCAACCCAATGGTTTATTTAGATTTTGTAAAGTTTACTGTTGAAAAGGAAGCATCACATACTCAAATTGTTTCAAATATACTTAAGAGCTTTCTGAATTGAGTATTGATTTTAAAGTTAAATTTAAATTAATTAAAATTAAATAAAATTGAAAATTCAGTTCTTCAGTTGCACTGGCCACATTTCAAGTGCTCAGTAACAACATGTGGCTGGTGGCTCCCGTATTGGACCATGCACATCTAGAACATTCCATCATGGTAGGTCTGCATCTAATGACTCATTTAATTCTGAACTCATGACAACCCTATGAGGTGGAACTGGTGACATAGGAGGTGGCTTAGTGTGGAGATTAAGAGCTGGACGCTGGAGCCACACTGCCCTCTACTTACTACCCGAATGACCTTGAGCAAGAGAATTCTCCTCCTTGTGCCTCAGTTTCCTCATCTGTAACAGAGGGATAGTAACAGTGCCAACCTCATAGGGTTATTGTAGAGAAGAGTCTGGAATACAGAAGGTGCTAAATTTCCATTTTACAGATGAGAAAACAGAGGTATCCTTCCACTCTGATTCTGGGCTCTTCCAGCAACGCTTGCTATGCACTGGCCCTGTCAGGGAGCTGGGCAGAGGAAGAGGAGAACCAGGTTGTGCCTTTGGGAAACTCCCAAAGGGAACTTCTGTCTGCAGAAATCAGACAGAAGATTCCTCTTGAGAGCTGTGTGATCTTTGGCCATTCATTTTCGCCCAACAATCCTCAGTTTTGCCGTCTCTACACGGGGAGTAAACACTGTCCGTCCTCCAGAGCTCCCCTGTGAAGTACAGGCAGTATATAAAATTATGGTTTAGTGATTGGATTCCAAGGCTTCAAATCCCAGTTTCTCCTTTTCCAGGTATGATTCTGGGCAGATTGCTTCACCACCATGTGACTCAGTTGCCCCATCTGTAAAATGGGGATGATAATAATAATAATAGCTACCTCATAGGGCTGTTGTAAGGACTAAACTAAATAAGGCTTAGAGCAGTGCCTGGTGCATACCATAGAGTATGATTCTTTTAGTACATTTATATTATTATTACTGATTCAACACTGGGATGCCTTTGTGATACGAGTCATTATTTTATGTACCACTAAAGGAGAACCTGGGTAGCTTAAACAGCTAAGCGCTCTACTACTGGCTGAAAGGTTTGAACCCCACCCAGAGGCACCTCAGAAGACAGGCCTGGTGATCTGCTTCCAAAAGGTCACAGCCTTGAACACTCTATGGAGTAGTTCTATTCTGCACAGTGTGGTCGGAATCGGACTCCACGGCAACTAACAAGAGGGAAAAACCTCTGCCAATTAAACTGTGACACTCCACTGAGTGTAATCCCCATGGCGATTTCAGAGCTGCAAAAAATGTGAAATAACTGTATTAGAATCAATATAATCAGGCATTAAGCCTAGACAACTGTTAGCCACAATTATTTTCATGAATGAAAAGAACTTCCTAGTACCCAGGGGATCCTCTTTACAAAATGGGGATTTTTGAGCTGGCGTGGGAAAAACCTAGAAGGGCTTCCTGGAGGAGGACTCTTCCCCATTCTTTTCCCCTCTTTCCGCTCCCAGCAGGACACGACCAAGCCCACCATGGCAGCCCGCCGCTATTCTGGCTTGGCCAGGCGGGTGCTCACCATCACCTTCGCCCTGCTCATCCTGGGCCTCATAACCTGGGCCTACGCTGCTGGCGTGCCCTTGGCATCCGATCGCTATGGCCTGCTGGCCTTCGGCCTCTACGGGGCCTTCCTCTCTGCGCACCTGGTGGCGCAGAGCGTCTTTGCCTACCTGGAGCACCGGCGGGTGGCGGCAGCGGCGCGGCGGGCGGCCGCGCGGGGACCCTTAGACGCGGCCCAGGCGCGCAGCGTGGCGCTGACCATCTCGGCGTACCAGGAGGATCCCGCGTACCTGCGCCAGTGCCTGGTGTCCGCGCGCGCCCTGCAGTACCCGCGCGCGCGGCTGCGCGTCCTCATGGTGGTGGACGGCAATCATGCCGAGGACCTCTACATGGTCAACATGTTCCGCGAGGTCTTCGCCGACGAGGATCCCGCCACCTATGTGTGGGACGGCAACTACCACCAACCCTGGGAGCCGGCGGCAGCGGGTGCGCCGGGAGCCTACCGCGAGGTGGAAGCCGAGGACCCTGGGCGACTGGCGGTGGAGGCGCTGGTGAGGACGCGCAGGTGCGTGTGCGTGGCCCAGCGCTGGGGCGGCAAGCGCGAGGTCATGTACACGGCCTTCAAAGCTCTGGGAGACTCGGTGGACTACGTGCAGGTGAGTGGAGGGCGCCCCTGCCCCACCCCTGACCCTAACATTCCATCTTCCCTGGGGTCTTAAATTGTATGTAGAGATTCTTTCCTTCCTTTCTTCATTCATTCATTTATCCAATGCAGAGATTATTTCCTTGACTCATTCATCCATTCAGTATAGAGATTCATTCATATATTCAGTCCTCTATTCATTGTAGATTATTTCCTTTACTCATCCATCCATCCATCCATCCATCCATCCACCCACCTATCCATTCACCCATCCACCCATCCATCCATGGTCCATTCATTGCAGAGATTCATTCATTCACTTTTCAACCAGCCAATGTAGACTCTTTCCTTCACTCATTCATTCATCCTTCCACCCACGCACTCATCCATCCACTCAATACAGAGATTCATTTGTTCGTTCATTCATCATTGAACGTAGAGATCCTTCACTCATTCATCCATGCGATGCAGAGATTCATGTGTTCCTTCATCCCTTCCTTTCATTATTCATTCAATGTAGAGATTATTTTGGTCATTCATTCATCCATCTATCTATCCATCTATTCAATAGTCATTTATTCATTCATCTATTCAATGGTGAGATTCATTCATTAATGCAATATATTTGTTTTTTATTGCTGTGTAACAAATTAACATAAATTTGGCAGCTTGAAACAACACATGTTTATTATCTCATCGTTTCCCTGGGTTAGGAGTCTGGGCACAGCTTAGCTGGGTTCTCTGTTTAGAGTCTTACCAGGCTGCAACCAAGGTGTTTGCTAGAGCTGGCTTAGGGGTCCTCTTCCAAGCTCATGTGTTTGTTGGCAGAATTCATTTTCTTGCAGCCAAGGAACTCCTGGTAGCTTGCTTCTTCAAGGCCAGAAAGAGAAAGAGTCTCTGACTTCTAGAAACTCTTTTAAAGGGCTCACCTGTTTAGTTCAGGCCCACCCAGGATAATCTCCATTTTTATTAATTTAAATTAACAGGTTAGGGACCTTAATCACATCTGCAAAATCTCTTCACTTTTTTCATATAAGGTAATGTAATCGTCGGAGTTATATGCTGTCACTTTTGCCATATTCTATTGGTTAGAAGCCAGTTACAGTTCTCACTCAAGGGACACTATTATACAAGGATGTAGGTCTAGGGGATCATTTTAAGATGTGATTAGATGTTGAAAATGATTTAAAAATTCAGGGTCCCAGCTGCTCCCCACCACCGGTGCCCTCCCCCCAAGAACCAGGCCCACACAGTAGGGGTCTGGTCTGATCCTGGCCCCTCTGGCGGTACAGGTCTGTGACTCGGACACAAGGCTGGACCCTATGGCACTGCTGGAACTGGTGCGAGTGCTGGATGAGGACCCCCGTGTAGGGGCTGTTGGAGGGGATGTGCGGATTCTTAACCCTCTGGACTCCTGGGTCAGCTTCCTAAGCAGCCTGCGGTACTGGGTGGCCTTCAATGTGGAGCGGGCTTGTCAGAGCTACTTCCACTGTGTGTCCTGCATCAGTGGCCCTCTAGGTGAGCAGGGGCAGGACTTGGGAGGGTCATGGTTGGAGTGGAGAGGGAGAAGGGGAGCAGGGGATGTGACTGAGACTGGGGACAGAGATGGGGCTGGGGCAGGAACTGGGATGGGGATAAGATTGGAAAATGGAGGTGGAGATGGTATTTAGACTGGGGCTAGTGTTGGGGATGGGGTCGGAGAAAGGATATGGATGAGGGTTGGAGATGGGGTTGAGGAAGGGTTTGGGGAAAGGGATGTGAGAGTGTTGGGGTCAAGGACACGGTTGGGGCCGGGTTTGAGGTTGGAGATGTAGTTTTAGATGAGGGCAGGTTGGGGATGGGGCTGAGAATGGATATGGGATTGGGGATGGGGATGGGGTGGATTTGGAATCTGAATAGGTGTGGAGTCAGGGGCTGGGTTGGGGCAGGTTTGAAATAAGGATGGGTTGAGAATGGACTTGGGATTGGGAACAGGACTGGGGCTTTGGTTGGACATAGCGCTGGGTAGGGGATTGAGATGGTGAGGGATGGGGCTGGAGATGGGGTTGGGATTGGAGACAGGAATGGAGACGGTGTTGGTGAGACAGCAGAGGCTGATGCTCCTGCACTCTTTGTCCCCACCCAGGCCTGTACAGGAACAACCTCCTGCAGCAGTTCCTCGAGGCCTGGTATAACCAGAAGTTCCTGGGCACCCACTGCACCTTTGGAGATGATCGGCACCTCACCAACAGAATGCTCAGCATGGGCTACGCCACCAAGTAAGCTGAGGGGACCGGGTGGTCAGGTGTGTTCTTGGGGCAGATAGTACCCCAGGGAATGTGTGCATGTTGGGAGTTCTCCAAACCCACAGTAACTCCTGGGACAATGGTCTCTACCAAGTGAGACGTTAGGGGAGAGTGGAAGATACCATAAGGGACGGGGTGGCATTTGCATTGAATCATGTGACCCAATGGGCTCTACCAAATGAGGCAAGGCGAAGTTGGGGAATTCCACCTAGAAAATACAACATGAGATGGAGCGAGTAGATTCTACCATGGAGACCAAGTCGGCACAGGATTATTCCAAGGGAGGTGGGGAGGGCGAGAAATATATGCATAGCGTGAGATCTGACTAGTGAGAGAATGAATGAGAAAGAATCAAGTGAGAGGGGAGGGGAGCCCCTACACTCTAATAAAGGCTTCAGGGAGATGTGATGTGGTTCAGTGACGCTTTGGGGCATATGAGCCAGACAAAGTGAAGTTCAGAGAAGAGTGAGTTCTACAAAGTGAGACCCAGCAAGATGACTGGTCTGCTCTGAGAGGACTTGGAATATACCAAGGGACACCCATGCATTCATTCACTCGACAAACATTCATTAAGTGCCTACAACGTTTTAAGCCCTGAGACTGTAGTAGTTTCTTAACCCCTATGTACCTCAGTTTTCTTATATGTAAAATGGGGTCAATAATGGTCCCAACCTGATAGGGATATTGTGAGGATTAAATTCATGCTTATATTTAGACAGAACAAATAAGTAAAATATATAGTGTGTTAGATAATCATACATGCTATGGAGATAACCCATTGAGATATTTCAGAAGACAGGCCTGGTGATCTGCTTCCAAAAGGTCACAGCCTTGAAAACACTATGGAGCAGAGTTCTACCCTGTGCATATGGCGTCGCCATGAGTCGGAATCCACTCCATAGCAACTAACAACAACAACAATATGAGATAAATAGAGCCCGGAAGGGGGTGGGTAGGAAGTTTCAGGGTAGGGAATGAAATAATAAATAGGGTGTCTGAGAGGGTGTCAGGACTAGGTGAGGAGAGGGGGCTGGAGCAGCGAGCAACGCGGGAGAGTGTGAGGAGTGAGGAGAGGAGGACAGAGGGTTCACAGGGAGTCTGCTCACATAAGGCTTGGAGGCAACGTTAAGGACTTTGGATTGAGATGAGGGAGCCATGGGAGGGTTTTGAGCAGAGGGGTGATATGTTGCTGCTGTTGACTGCTGTTTTGAGAACTTGCAGGCAGCAAGGGTGGAAGCAAGGAGTCCATTGAAGATGGATGCAACTGCATCATTCAGGGGCTTGGTTTAAACCCGCCTAGTAGCCACCAAAAAAATAAAAATAAAAAAGACCAAACCCATTGCCGTTGAGTCGATTCCGACTCATGGTGACCCCATGTTTTACAGAGTAGAACTGCTGTCTGTAATCTTTACAGAAGCAGATCGCCAGGCCTTTCTTCTGTGGCACCACTGGGTGGGTTCCAACTCCCAACCTTTAGGTTAGTAGTTGAGTGCAAACTATTTGCGCTACCCAGGGACCTTATAGGAGCAACAGAATTTATGAAAATGGGTTGGATTCTGAGCAGGACTAGGAGAATGGACATGCAGGCCTCTGGAGTGACAGATGGGAAAGGGACTGGACACTATCAATTAATGCCTGTGGGGAAAGACTAGTGTGACCTCTCCTAACAAACTGACTGCTGGTGACCACCCAATGGCTTTCTGTAAAAGGAATTCTGGCCTTGAGTGGCTTGGCTGGAAATCTGCAGGGATTGATTAGTAATGTCTGCCATGGCCACAGGAAGGGAGCCTGATGGTCCCCTTGAGAAGTTCTACCACATGAACTACACTAGGCAGGAACCGTGCCTGTCTAGTTCCTCATCATGAAGCTGCCAATAAGAGTTATCACAGTGGTATTAGTAATAGATTAGTGATAGTATTAGTAAGAGTGCTAGTAATAGTAATAATCTTAGTAATAGCAATAGCATTAGTCATAGTAAAAACAGTAGTAGTAGGTAGCATTTATTGAGCAAGTACTATATAAAAAAACCAAACCCACTGCTGTCAAGTGGATTCCGACTCATAGCAACCCCATAGCCACCGTGTAGGACAGAGTAGAACTGCCCAATAGGGTTTCCAAGGCTGTAAATCTTTAAGGAAGCAGACTGCCACATCTTTCTCCTACTGAGCAGCTGGTGGGTTCGAACTGCCGACCTTTCCGTTAGCAGCCAAGTGCTTAACCAGTGCGCCACCAGGGCTCCTCATAGGAACCATTATTGACCCCATTTTACATATAAGAAAAACTGAAGGCCAGAGAGATGAAGAAACTAGCCCAGATCCCACAGTGTCATTTCTGGCTCCAGAATCCTCTCCAGGCCCCAAAGAAAGCCGTTCTGAGGCCGCCCCTTCCCCACCCTTCCAGGTACACCTCCCGCTCCCGCTGCTACTCAGAGACACCCTCGTCCTTCCTGCGCTGGCTCAGTCAGCAGACGCGCTGGTCCAAGTCCTACTTCCGCGAGTGGCTGTACAACGCACTGTGGTGGCACCGGCATCATGCGTGGATGACCTACGAGGCGGTGGTCTCAGGCCTCTTCCCCTTCTTCGTGGCAGCCACGGTGCTGCGGCTTTTCTACGCCGGCCGCCCGTGGGCTCTGCTGTGGGTGCTGCTGTGCGTGCAGGGCGTGGCACTGGCCAAGGCGGCCTTCGCGGCCTGGCTGCGGGGCTGCCTGCGCATGGTGCTGCTCTCGCTCTATGCGCCCCTCTACATGTGCGGCCTCCTGCCGGCCAAGTTCCTGGCGCTGGCCACCATGAACCAGAGTGGCTGGGGCACCTCAGGCCGCCGCAAGCTGGCCGCCAACTACGTCCCTGTGCTGCCACTGGCCCTGTGGGCTTTGCTGCTGCTTGGGGGCCTGGTGCGCAGTGTGGTCCAAGAGGCCACGGCTGACTGGAGTGGCCCATCCCGGGCTGCGGAGGCCTACCATCTGGCCGCCGGGGCCAGCGCCTACGTGGGGTACTGGGTGGTCATGTTGACACTGTACTGGGTGGGCGTGCGGAGGCTTTGCCGGCGGCGGGCAGGGGGCTACCGTGTCCAGGTGTAAATCCGAGCAAGGGTCTTAAGGGGAGGCAGGAGGAGACCTGCGGGGCTGAGGGGGACATGGACTTGCTGGGCTTTAGTTTCCCACCTCTGTGAAATGACTGAGGAGCCCTGGTGGTGCAAAGGTTAAGCACTCTGAAAAGTCGGCAGTTCAACCCACCCAGGGAGAAAGACCTGGCAGTCTGCTCTGGTAAAGATTCCGTTACCCCGCTGCCCTCCAGTCTACCCCAACTCATAGTGACTCTATAGGACAGAGTAGAACTGCCCCAGTAGAGTTTCCAAGACTGTAATCTTTACCGAAGCAGACTGCCACATCTTTCTTGTGTGGAGCCGCTAGTGGGTTCAAACCACTGACCTTTTGGTTAGCAGCTGAGCACTTAACCACTGTGCCACCAGGGCTCCTTCTGTAAAGATTACAGTCTAGAAAAATGAGGGGCGTCGACCCAAGCCTCCCCAGCCGAGACTATGTTGGGGCTGGGACTTCAGGGTCCCTGGGGACGGGTATTTATTGATCAGGGTGTAGGTTTTTTAGGGGCAGGGAGAAAAGGCCCCCCCCCACTTTTTCCCTGTTCTTATTTAATCTTCATTTGTACTGTGTGATTAGGATATAATAAAGAATTTTTTTTATTTTATTCTGAGACTTGTCTTTTTCCTTTTTTTGAGAACCAAGGGGGCTGGGTATGGTACTTTGTTATAGCAGCCTTAGGAAACTAATACTTGATCTACCTGCAAATCCCACTGGTTCTACCTTCAGAACAGATCGAGAACCACTGCTCCTCACCTCCTCTGTCACCACCTTTGTCCCCAAGCTGTATCTCTTGCCTGGATTAAAACCACTATCACGGGCCTAGATTACTGCAGCACCTACCTAAGTAACAGTGGTCCCTGCTTCCACCCTTGCCCCCCTACAGTCTGTAATCCACACAGTTGCCAGAGGGACCTGCAGAAATGTAAATTAGATTATGACTCTCCTTGGCTCAAAACCCTCCCATGACTCTCATCTCATGCAGAGGAAAATCCACAGCCCTTATGGTGGCCAGTGGCCATTATGGATTGAATTGTGTCCTTCCCAAAATATGTGTTGTGAATCCTAATCCCTATACCTGTAGTTATAATCCCATTTGGGAAGGGTTTTCTTTGTTATGTTAATGTGGCAGTATTAGTGTAGGGTGTGTTTGAAAGATAAAAGAGAAGATAAAGCAAGCAGAGAATGGGGGAAGATAGATGCCAAGCCAAATGGGGATGGCCAAGGAACCAGGAAACAGAAGCTGAAAAAAGACAAGGACCTTCCCCTGGAGCCAAGAGAGAGAAAGCTTTCCCCTAGAGCCAGAGTACTGAATTCAGACTTCTAGCCTTTAAGAAAATAAATTTCTGTTTATCAAAGCCACCCACTTGTGGTATTTCTGTTATAGCAGTGCTAGATAAATAAGACAGTGGCCAAAGGCCTGCACGATCTGGTCCCAGGTCCTCTCCTACCTCATGGCCCACTCATTTCCTAAAGCCTTGCTCTAGCTACACTAGCCTCTTGGCTACTCCTCCCACATACCAGGCACCCGCCTGCCACAGGGCCTTTGCCCCTTCTGTTTCCTTTGCCTGGAACATCTTGCAATATGCAGTTCTTCCCCTAACTTCTCCGAGCTAGGTCAGACTTCATGGGTAAAGGGTAAACTCCTCCGGACTGCTAAATCTACCCAAGATTTCAGACACCAGCTGCAAGTCTGGGCGTTCCCAGGTCACCCACAATTCTGATCTGCTAGCTACAAATTAGAGGGTTCCATGCTTCTGATCCTGATCCGGAGTTGTACCCTGTTACTTCCTTAATAAACCACTTAACTGTTAAGTACAGTTTGTGAGTTCTATATATGGCCATTGCAATGGATCATTGAACCCAGCAAAGCAGCGGAGTGTGCTGTGGAAGGGACGGCTGGTGTCAGAACTGGTGAAAAGGTCGGAGAGTGGAGGTACGTCTGACCTCCACCTCACAAGGATCAGCTTTGTGCTGACGGCAATTCTCATTATCCCCCTTGAAGTTAGACAGGTTCTGACTCTACTACTGCCAACATTTACACCACTGACTCCTCAGAGTCCCTGGGTGGTGCCAACCGTTAACATGCTCCGCCGCTAACTGAAAGGCTGGAGGTTAAAGTCCACCCAGAGGCACCTTGGAATAGAGATCTGACAATCTACTTCTGAAAAATAAGGCATTGAAAACCCTATGGAGCACAGTTCTACTCTGGCACATGTGGGGTTGCCAAGAGTCGGAGTCAACTCGACAGCAACTTTCCCCTTAGGACACCTGCACTTCTGACAAACTGGTTACAAATTTGTGGGTACCTATTAGCCCCTCAGGAGCCCTGGTGGTGCAGTGATTAAGAGCTTGGCTGCTAACCAAAAGGTCGGCAGTTCGACTCTACCCGCCGCTCTTTAGAAACCCTGTGAGGCGGTTCTACTCTGCCCTGTAGGGTCACTATGAGTCGGAATCGACTTAACTGCAACCGGTTTGGTTATTTGGTTTGATCAGCCCCTCAAGGAGCCCTGGTTGCACAGTGGTTAGAGCGTTCAACTGCTAACCAAACAAACCACAGCGGCTCCGTGGGAGAAAGATGTTATTCTGCTTCCGTAAAGATTTACAGCCTTGGAAACCCTATGGGGTTGCTATGAGTCAGAATCAACAGCAATGGGCTTGGTTTTGGTTTTATTAGCCCCTCAGTTTTGTTAATTCACTAGAACTCACAAAATGCAGGAAAGCATCATATTTATGATTACTGTTTGGTTTTTTGGTGGCACTAAGGCCTAGAACACTTTATTCTTATATTTTCAGAAAAAACAGGACAGGAGGGGAGTCACATACCTACCAAAAAACCCAAACCAGTTGTTGTTGATTCCAACTCATGGCTACCCCATATGTGTCAGAGTAGAACTTTGCTCCATAGGGTTTTCTTTTTTTGTTTTTTTCTAATTTATTTTTGTTGTTGTTGAGAATATACACAGCAGAAAATATACCAGTTCAACAATCTCTACATGTATAATTCAGTGACGTAGTATGGTTACAGTTTTATTATAAAGGATACAGATCAGGACCAGCATAAAGACAACACATAGGGCAAGGTCTGGGAGGGCCCCCAAACTTGGAACTTCCGTGTCTTCTCCACATGGAGTGAGGATGCTTCACTCTCCCAGCACACTGATGTATTGCCAATCAGGGATTTCATTACATAGTATAATGTGGTGGTGTCAGACCTCATCTAACTTCAGGGGGAGAGATGAGAATCATCAGCATCAGCCCACAGCTGATTCCTATGAGGTGGAGGTCGAATATAACTCCACTCTCCAACCCTTTTTACCAATTCTGACACCAGCCATCCCTCTCACAGCACTCTCTATTTCTCTGCTGGGTTCGATAATTTATTGCAATGTTCGCACAGAACTCACAGACCGTATTCATGACTATGGGGTTTATTAGGGAAGTAACAGGTTACAATTCAAGACTGTCATGAATTGAACTGTGTCCCCCAAAAATATGTGTATTGCTAGGCCTTGATTCTCAGTATTGTGTGATTGCCCACTATTTTGTCATCTGATGTGATTTTCCTATGTGCTGTAAATCCTGTCTCCGTGATGTTGATGAGATGGGATTACTGGCAGTTATGTTAATGAGGCAGGACTCAATTTATAAGATTGGATTGTGTCTTGAGCCAATCTCTTTTGAGATATAAAAAAGAGAAGCTAGCAGAGAGACATGGGGACCTGTCATGGATTGAATTGTGTCCCCCCGAAATGCGTGTCAACTTGGTTAGGCCATGATTCCCAGTACTGTGTAGCTGTCCTCCATTTTGCGATTATAATTTTATGTTAAAGAGGATTAGAGTGGGATTGTAACACTCTTACTAAGGTCACATCCCTGATCCAACGTAAAGGGAGTTTCCCCGGGGTGTGGCCTGCACCACCTTTTATCTTGCAAGAGATAAAAGGAAAGGGAAGCAAAGTGAGAGCGGGAACCTTACACCATTAAGAAAGTAGTGCCAGGAGCAAAGTGCATCCTTTGGACCGGAGGTTCCTGTGAAGAGAAGCTCCTAGTCCAGGAGAGGATTGATGAGAAGGACCTTCCTCCAGAGCTGACAGAGAGAGAAAGCCTTCCCTTGGAGCTGACGCTCTGAATTTGGACTCTAGCCTACTTGACTGTGAGAAAATAAATTTATCTTTGTTAAACCTGTTCACTTGTGGTATTTCTATTATAGCAGCACTAGATGACTAAGACAAGGATCAACTTGGAAATAACAGGAACAACTCAGGATACAGTTTTTTGATCAGGGTGGCAACGAGTTAACTTTCACAGGAGCAGATCACCATGTCTTTCTCCTGCAGAGTTCGAACCGCCAACCTTTCAGTTAGCAGCTGAATGCTTAACCATTGCATCACCAGGGTTCCTTATCATCATATAACTTGACGTATCCCAATGCCATCAAGTTGATTCCGACTCATAGCTACTCTATAGGACAGAGCAGAACTGCCCCCATAGCATTTCCAAGGCTATAATCTTTACGGAAGCAGACTGTCACATCTTTTCCCAGTGGAGCGGCTGGTGGGTTTGAACTACCAACCTTGTGGTTAGCAGCCAAGCATATATATTTTTAGGGGCCACAATTCAATCTGTAACAGGAAAGAAGAGGTTGGGGGGCATCAAGGACTCTATTTGAGTGTCTTCTGCAGAAGGGAATGCCAAGGAGACTGTCAGAAATCTCGCTGTGGGGCTATGAGGAGGGTCTGGCCTTGCACCTGAAACCCTCAGCACAGGGCTTTGCACTATGATATAAAAACACCAAACAAACCTGGTGCCCTTGAGTCTATTGTGACCAACGGTGACCCCATGTGCTTGAGAGCAGAACTGCGCTCCACAGGGTTTTCTTGGCTGTAATATTACCGAAGCAGATCGCCAGGCCTTTCTTCCATGGTGCCACTGGGTAGGTTCAAAAGGCCAACCTTTCAGTTAGTAGCCAAAAGCAAACTGTTTGCACCAGCCAGGGATCTTGCACTGTGATAAACCCATTGCCGTCCAGTCAATTCCGACTCATAGCGACCCTACAGCACTGTGCTAGCTGTGGGTATTATTATAATTATGGGGGCCATAATTCCCCTGAGTGTGTTTGGGGTATACTGTCCCCTCCTCCTACCTGAGTTAGTAGCGACCACTTTCAAAGACTAAAGAAATTGGAGCAGAAAAATATACTCTTTATTTTAGGGATGAAAGTGGGACAAGGAAGGAAGATACCTTTGTTAGCTGCCGCTGAAGTACCATCTAAAGAACATCCTGGGGAAACAACGAGGCTTGCGTGTGTGGAGGGAGGGGTGGGTTGGGGATCAGAAATCTGGGCCCTGGGGGCCTGGATGCCTGAGTCTCAAAGGTGGATGGGAGCCTGGACTCCTGGGTCTGCGGGAGGAGGGGGCTGGGGGCCCAGAGTCCTGAGTCTGAGGGAGGAAAGCTGGGGGCCTAGACCCCTGCACTGAAAGAGGAGGGGCTGGGGGCCTGGAGTCCAGGGTCTGAGGGAGCAGTGGGCTAGGGGCCCAGAATCCTCAGTCTGAGAGGAGAGGGCGGGGCCTGGATTCCTGGGTCTGAGGGAGGAGGGGGCTGGGGGCCTGGATTCCTGGGTCTGAGGGAGGAGAGAGCCGGATGCTGGGACTGGAGGGTCCCGAGGTCTTACCACCCGAACAGGATCAGACTCGCGGACAGGAAGGCCGCGGAGGCCGCGAGCAGGCACAGGTTGCTCGGTGTCAGAGCCCCGGGGGAGGCCAGCAGCTCGCCCAGGCTCGGCCTCCAGGGCTCGATCATCTCCGTCTCGCGTGGCGCCCAGCGCACCACTTCCCGAAAGGAGACCTGAAGTTCGGTCTCCCCGCGCGGGGGCGGGCCTGTCACTGAGGGGCGCGCACGTCAGCCGGACGAGCCCGCCCCCGCTAAGCCCCGCCCCCCGCGGCCGCGCCCTGCCCGAACCATTAAGAAAGAAGTAGAGCCGCGCTAGGGGGCGCTCTTCGTGCACGATCTCGCAAGAGAAGGTCCCGCGGTGCTTGGGCTGCGCGGGTCGGATCCGCGCCACGTTCCCTCGGGCCTCCGGCAGCTCTCGGAAGTAGGTCTGGTCCTGAGTCCGGAGCTACGGGACGCTTGGGCTAAGGCAGCGGGAGGCGCGAGGCCTGCCAGGGCCCGCCCGCTGGAGCTCAGGTCCTGCATTCTCAACCCGCACTCGTCAAACCGTAAAGTTCAACCAAGGCCCCGCCCCTGAACCAGACCACGCCCACTTGACTCATGGCCCCACCCCTCCGTTTTTATTTGCCGATCCTTAATACGTAGCCCCTCCTCCATGCCTTGACCCCGCCCCCGGAGCCTGTACTTGTCTCCCGCCGTAAGCGCTGCCCCTAACTCCCAAACCCTGCATATAATCCATCCCCTGATCCCTGCCCTGCATTATGGGCCTCGACCCCTTTCCTAAATCCCGGAACCCTCCCCTGCACTAAGCCTGTATCTAGACTAGGCTCCCCAAGTCCCACCCCCTTGAGTCCTGACTCCCCATCTTCTTCTAAAGCGTAACGCGCCTCCTAAACCCTTCAGGCTGGCCCCGCCCCGACTCACACCTCCTCCTACGAACTTCCAGGAATAGGTGATCTCCTTAGGAAGCTCGAAGTTGACGTTGCAAAAGAACATGGCCTGATCACCCCGAATCACCTTCACGTCCTGAACTGAAGACCGGGTTCAGGTCACCCTTTCGGACCTGCCCACACCTGGTCCCGCCCCTGAACCACAAGCCTGCCCCTTCCTCGCTCAGGTCTCGCTTCTCCAGTTCGTCACTTCCAGTCCCCACCCCTCCATCTGGCAGCTCAGTCTTTCCAGGCCCCTCCTTTCACTTGGGCAGTCCACTCACTCTAAACCCCGCCCCTCACCTGGGCAGTCCAGAGGAAGATTGCAGAGGGTAGAGTAACACCCGCGGCAGCGGAAGCGCCTGGAGACCTCCTGGCGCCCTATGGGGCGGGAACGCTGGGTCTGGAGGGATGTCTCCATCTTCCCCAGCCCGTGTCCCTATGGCCGATTTAGGATGTATTAAGTCTCCCTGGGAGCCCTGGTGGCGTAGTGGTTAAGAGCTTGGCTGCTAACCAAAAGGTCGGCAGTATGAATCCACCAGCCGCTGCTTGGAAAACCCTATGGGGCAGTTCTACTCTGTCCTTTAGGATCGCTATGAGTCGGAATCGACTCGACGGCAACATTTTTTTTTTGGGGGGGTGGTGGTTCTATTGACCCCTTAGAGTCTTGGCCCCGCCTTCCCTGCGCTCATTGGAGGGCTCTCATCTCTCGCACCCTCTAGGATTCCTAGTGTTTTCTTTGGAGCTCTCAGACCCACCTTCTGGGTGGTTATTGAGCAATAGCTGGTCTACTTACTTTTCTCCAGGGCTTTTTTTTTTTTTGCCTCCTCCGAATCTAACACCTATGCTCTCCCACTCACGTAGTCTCAGGTTTTGGCCCCGACCACTTCCCTTCCCCCGCAATCCTGAGCTTTGAATTATATCCTCACCGCAGGGAGGGATGCAGTCCGGGGCTGCAGAGAGAGAGGAAGAGTTACTACTCTGCAAGCTACTGGAGGGGATACCCTACCTGAAGGTCCCTTAGAAGATGTTACTGGGCCGGAAATATTCCTCCCGGGGCGGGGTGGGGGGTGGGGGCAGGCCTGCTGCTTTCCACCTAAGGGGCAGGGCCAGGCCTGCTCTCTGCATCTAAGGGGCGGGGCCAGCCCTGGAGAATTTCGGAGAGACAGGTGTGTATTCCACTTGCAGAGAACAGAGACTAACTAGAGGCCAGGCTATTAATATTTTTCACGGAATGCGCATGGCCAGACACAGAGATTAGGAAGGGACTGGGGCCTGTCTGGGTCAGGAGCATCCCACGAAGGGGTCCCTGCTGGAGAGGAAACCCTCCGTCAACGGGGCGGGGCCGGATCCTGAGCAGTCCAGGCCGGACTGGTCCACCAAGGGAAGGGCTCAGGGATTAGGCCAGAAGCGGATTTGGGATTTCAGGAATGTGTCCCCTAACTGTGTTGCACGTAGAGGGAGATGTGGTGATGGAGTCTACTTTTACCTTCTTTAAGCTGTGCTATGTCCTCCTTCATGGCCTCGGCGGCAGCACGGAAAGCCTCCTCATAGGAATCTACAGGATAGAGGGGGTCCATGTAGTAAAGTCCCTTCGCCGATGACCCGTGTAGCTGGACAGGGCCCGCTGTCACCGTGCCCTTGCCCCTTCTCTCCACCGCTACGTCTCTCCTATATACCACATCCAATGCTGTCCACATCTCCACCCACCCTGTCTACCTCCAAGGCTAAGTCCCCAGGTCTCCTGCCTCTTGAGTCTCTCTCGGATGGACCCCCTCTTCTGCATTATCTTGTTGCTGGGAAGGGGAGGATAAAGATCAAATTCCTCACCAAGGCCTACTAGGCCATATGTGATCTGGCGTAGTTCCCCTGCCCTCTCTGTGTTTCATCCATACTACCCACCTTTCATTTCCCCTAATGCAAAAGGAACCATGTTCCCTACCACGCTTTGCCCATGCTGGCTTCTGTTCCTAGCACACCCTTCCCCCTACTCCTACTCGTCCTTCATGTCTTACCTCAAGTGTCACCTCCACAGAGGGTCTCCCTCACCACAGATCTAATCTTGCTCCCTCTGTTTTTATCTCATATAGTGCCCCATTTGTTTCACTCATAGCTCTCCCCAGCTTGTAACTACATACACTTGTATGTATGGTCCACCACCCGTCTGTTTTTTGTACTGTGGTGGCTTATGTGTTACTGTGCTGCCGGAAGCTATAGCACTGGTCTTTCAAATACCAGCAGAGTTACCCATGGTAGACAGGTTTCAGCAGGGTTTCTGGACTAAGACTAGGAAAACAGGCCTGGTGATCTACTTCCAAAAATTAGCCAATGAAACCCCTGTGGATTACAGAATATTGTCCAAGACTTCAACTTGCTTACTTTGAACGTGACATCAGAAGGGACCGATTGCTGAGAAGGACATCATGGTTGGTCAAGTGGAGGGTCCGTGAAGGCGAGGGAAACCCTCAATGTGATGGACTGACACAATAGCCACAACAGTGGATTCAAACATACCAACGATCACGAAGGTGGTGCGGGACCAGGCAACGGTTCATTCCATTATATATGAGGTTACCAGGAGTCAGAGCTGACTTGACAGCAACTTACAACAACATACGTACGGTGATTGGTTTGCCTCTTGTGCTAGACCGTAGGAGCCCTGGTGGCAGCTGTAGTGGTTAAGTACTCAGCTGCTAACCAAAAGGTCAGTGATTCTAACCCACCAGCTGCTCCATGGGAGAAAGATGTGGCAGTCTGCTTCCGTAAAGATTACAGCCTTGGAAACCCTGTGGGACAGTTCTACTCTGTCCTACAGAGTCGCTATGAGTTGGAATTGGCTCAACAGCAGTGGGTTTGGTTTATGGTTTTGTGCTAGACTGTAAGTGAATGTGTCCTTCTTTAGTGCTATGTCCCCAGAATCCAGGAGAGGGGCCCAATCTTTGAATAAATAAATATGTGTAGAATGAATTCCAGGATCCAGCTGGAACTGGAGCTGTAACTAGTGGCCTATGGCCCAAATCCATCCCTTGGACATGTTATATTTGGCCTGAAAAGTGTTTAAAAAATAAACATACGAGCCGGTTGCCAACATATAAAATTTGGGAAAGTCACATAAAATATTTGGCTTCTCGGTTTAAAAAGATGGGGAGAAGTATAACTTGGAGATCATATTACACAAGGCAACAGTTAGCTGAACAGCAGCCCACCCCACTCACACACGGCACACACCCACTTCCCCATAGCCCCGCTCTCTTCATTTCTACGTCCCTCCCCCTGCCCGCCTTCACTCTTTGATGTTTCTTGCCTGTTCTTGTAGGCGTTTGAATTTTGGCCATTGCAATAGCCTTCAAACTAGAAAGTTTTGTGAATTTTTTTCCCAGGGAAGCTTTGCAGAGAAAGTAGATATATGGATTGATCTAGTGGTAGAGGTGGTTTTGGAAAACAAATGGGGCAGGGATTGCCAGTAGCCTTCAATCTCCCTCTCTCTTTTAAAATTATTTTATTGTATTTTTGGTGGAAATATACACAGCAAAACATACTCCCATTCAACAATTTCTACAGCTAACGTTCAGTGACATTGGTTACATTCTTCACATTGTATCAACATTCTCATTATTTCCCTTTTGGTTGTTTTACTCACAGTAACTTAGTCTCACTGCCCCCTGAAGTTTTCATCTATGTTTTAGAGTAACTGTTGTCCATTTGGTCTCTTATCGACAATTTTTTGAAAGAGCTCAGCACTCAAGGGTGACATTCTTTACTTTTTGATCTACCCAGCTATTTAGTTAAAAGATGACTTCTAGGGATAGTTTTGTTTCAATGTTTAAAGAGTATCTCTAGGATTCTTCCAGTGTCAATGCGTCCACTAAGTCTGGATTCTTTGAGGATTTGAAGTTCTGTTCCAGTTTTCTCTCTTTCTATCAGGATCCATCTATTGTCTCCCTGATCAGAATATCTGGTAGTGGTAGCTGGGCACCATCTAGTTCTTCTGGTGTCAAGGTTCCAATATCTCTTTTTCCCTTTAATAACAGAACACTGCATTTCTGTGGGAACAGTGCCACCCAACTAAAAGATTACATTTCTCAGGCTTCCTTGCAGTTAGGTGTGGTCATGTGACCAAGTTTTGGACACTGAGATTTAAGTGGAAGTGTCACATGTGAGTTATACAAAGTAGCCTTAAAAAGGAGGTGGTGCCACCTTATTACTCCCTTCCTCCATCCTGCTGCCTGAAACTTGGTTGTGATAGCTGGAGCTCCAGCAGCCATATAGGACCATAAGGACAAAGACTACACCTACGATAGAAAGCTGGAAAGAGTTTGGGTCCCTAAGAAAATGGAGCTGCCATACCAGCCCTGAATGTCTACCTCAGAACTTATTTCTCATGAGAGAAATAAACTTCTGGCTTGGTTAAGCCATTGGGGTGTGCGGTGGGGGTTTCTCTGTGACTTAAAGCCATACAAAAAGGGCGGGATTTGAGGATATTGGCAAGAGTGGCTGAAGTGATGATGATGGGGTAATAAGCTGGAGAAAGGGGATATTGAGGCCAGGAAGAAGGTTCAAAATGAGGAGTCAAGAGGTCGAGTCTCAGAGGTCTCTCCAGGGCCCCAGAACAGGAGTGTGGTCTGAAGATGAAGGATGGTCAGGCGGATGTGGTCAGAGTGGGGGCTCAAATGAGATAACATCAGGATGTCAGAGGAGTCATCTCACGGATGGGCCAAACCAAGTGACTCCAGGGAAGGGAGAGTGTCGGATAGACTCAGTGAGCCATGGAGGGAAGGGGATGGTTTATGTATCTAGTGCACTGTGGGAGTAGGAATGGAATGAAATGTTCCAAGGGACATGGGTTATATCTCGTGCATCATGGTGGGGTGGGGCCGGTGGACATTGTAAAATTCTCCCAAAAAGAGGTGCATATCGATTGTGCTCCAACTCTGGTTCTGATCATCTGGGTTTGAGTCTTGGCTCTTCCAGGTGTAAACACACCTGTCTCACTTAGACATCAATCACAAGTCCTTCTCCATATTTGACCTTGGTCAAGTGACTTAATCTTCCTTAATCTCATTCATATAATGGGGGCAATAAAGTACCTACCTTCTAGGGTTGGGGTGGAGGTGAGGATTAAATGCCATGCAACATAAAAGTGCTTGGCCATGCCTCATAAAATTGTTTTCATGACTAGATGAAATAATGCCTGGAGGGGCTTAGAACTGTGTCTACCACACAACAAATGTTGTGGGAGGTCAGCTATTATTATTACCATCCCCTGGTTTGGATAAAAGAGACCTGGTGGCAAAGCGGTCAAACACTCAGCTGCTAACTGAAAGTTCGGTGGTTTGAACCCACCAGCTGCTCTGTGGGAGAAAGATGTGGCAGTTTGCTTCCATAAAGATTTACAGCCTTGGAAGCCCTACAGGGCAGTTCTACTCTGTCCTATGGGGTTGCTATGAGTCAGAATCAACTCGTGGCAATGGGTAGGGGGAGACTGAGGCACAGAGAGGCTAGGGAAGTTGTCCAAGGTCACAGAGTTCAAGCCAGGTGGCCAGGCTCCAGAGCTGGCACACTTTAAATCATTATTGTACACTGCCCTCCTCTCTACACCCTCTCCTCTACTCCATGGTTCATAGACACAGACAGTATCACCTGCGACCATTGAGGGGAAATGTTACGTCAGCCTTGTCCATCTCTCTGGTCCTTCAGTGGGGAGAAACTTGGGTGCCATCCTCCTTCTTCCCACCCTGCACATCCCACATACGCCTGCTCCAGTCTATCTCCGGCATGTCTCCTGGGTCTACCCTTCCTATACAGTTGAGCCCCAACTTCTCCGTCTGTAAAAATGTGGCTATAAAAGTGCACCACACACAGTGGTGCCGAGGAAGAAAGGCTTGGCAATTTGCTTCCATAAAGACTACAGCCATGAAAACTCTGCAACACGTGGGGTTGCCACTGAGTTGGAGTTGACTCAGTGGGTTTGGTTTTGGTTTCACCAGGCTCATATGAGGGGCTTAAAGAAGAATGAATATAAGTAACTCTCTGCCTGGCAGACACAGCCTCTGCCATGTACAGGGCTGGCTAGGCACATAGTCACATCCTTGATCTTCCTCCTCTATCCTCATGCCCCACCTCCTCAGCTTAGACCCATCTTGACCTGCCTGGATCACTGCGACTGCTCCAAGCCACCACCCAACATCTCTCTCCTGGATACCTTCAATAGTCTTGCTTCTGCCCTGGCCCCAAGTGGCTGCCACAGGGATCTTGCTAAAACCTAAGTCAGATCCCATCCCTCCTCTGTGCAAAACCCTCCAACGGCTCCCCTATCCCACTCAAGGGCAATAGCCGAAGTCTTTATGATGGCCTACAACAGCCATTCTCAAAGTACGTTCCTGGACTAGCAGCATCAGCGTCAGCATCACTTGGGAACTTGTTAGACATACAAATTCTCCCAAACCTGTTGCTAGCTGTCATCGAGTTGTGAAATCAACCCCACATGTGCAGAGTAGAACTGCTCTATAGGGTTGTCAAGGTTGTGACTTTCTGGAAGCAAATTGCCAGACCTGTCTTCCAAGGCGCCTCTGGGTGGGGTTGAACCACCAACGTTTTGTCTAGCAGTTGAGCACTTAACTGTTTGCACCACCCAGGGACTCTATCTCAGACCTAATGGTCAGAATCAGGACTGTGGTCCAGCAATCTACATTTTAACAGGCTCCCCAGGAGGTTCTGAGGCACACTGAGGTTTGAGAACCACTGGCCTACATCCTGCTGGATTCGTCCCCTTTCTGTCTCTGACTTCATCTCCTATCACCTCCCTTGCTGACTCCATTCCAGCCCTGCTGGCCCCAGGGCCTTTGCACCGGCTCTTTCCACTGCCTACAACTTTCTTTCCCCAGATTATCTGCATAGCTCTCACCTTCACCTCTTTCAGGCCTTTGCTCAATCATACTTTTCATTTGCACCTCCCCTGACCGACTTATTAAAAATGATCACCCCATTAACCACCTGTTCCCTTTCCTTGCTCTGTCTTCCTCCACAGCCTGGAACACCAGCTGATGTACGGTAATATTTTATGGATGTTTCCTGTCTGTCTCCTCCCATCCCCGAATATAATAAACCTGAGTGCAGGCTCTTGCACTTATGTTCACAGCCATGTCCCCAGCGCAGTGCGTGGAAGAGTTGACAAATATTTGCTGGACATATTGCACTTGCCTTCTCCCGGCCTCCAGTCTCTCCCTCCAGTCCATCCCCACAGGGCCTGTTATCGTTGTGTGCCGTTGAGTTGATTCCGACTCATAGTGACCCCATAGGACAGGGTAGAACTGCCCCATAGGGTTTCCTAGACTGCAGTCTTTACAGAAGCAGATCGCCAGGTCTTTTCTCCCACGCAGCTGCTGGTAGATTCGAACTGCCAACCTTTCAGTTAGCAGCTAAGCGCTTAACCACTGCACCACCAGGGCTCCTTCACACAGCCCCAGACGGCTCTTTATACGACCAGAGCTGACCCTGCCCCTCCCCTGCTCCTCCCCTGCTCACAGCCCTCCCCTGGCTCTCCGGGGCTTCATAGGGTTTTCAGTGGCTGATCTTTTTTTTTTTTCTTTTCCAGAAGTAGATTGCCAAAACTTTCTTCTGAGGCACCTCTGGGTGGGCTTGAACCACCAACCTTTCAGTTAGCAGTCGAGTGCGTTAACTGTTTGCACCACCCAGGAATGGAAGTAGCTGCCAATGCAGAAGCCCTCCCCTGGCTTTCCAGAGTCTCAAGTCTCCCTGACCTTTCTGCCGAACCCGACCCTTGTTATTTAGCTGCCTCCTCGATGTCCCCCGGGCCCCTCAGTCACTGTGTCCTAGCCTAGCTCACCATCTGCCCCCACTCCTACTCTTTCTCTCCAGCTCCTCTTCTCAAGGATAGTTGAACTGCCCACCTAGCTATGCCCTGCCCCTCTTGTCCCCAGGTCTCCTGCCCCCGTCCCCTCTTGTCCACGTTCACAGCCCCAGCTCTGCTCAGGCCTCATCCTCTCTCACCTGGACCCTCACCCCAGCCTCCTCCCTGGCCTCCCAGCCTCCAGTCTCTCCCCTCCAGTATGCCACACACATGCCCCCTAGAGTGGGCTTCTGCACTTCATCTGGACCTGTTCCTCCTCTTTTCAAAGCCTTCTGTGAAAAGACAGCCTGAGTGGGGAGAAAGGGCATTTCCTGGAGCCCTGAAACTCCCTTTTCCAGTTCTCACGTCCTCAGGTCTCCCTTTGGAGAGGGGGCTCCGCAGCTGGGGTTGTCTCCATGCTGCCTTCCCCCCCTGGGCACCCCCATATGTCCCTCCAAACTCAGCCTGGATGGGCAGGAATGTCCTCATCTTTGGGGGTCTTTGTCCAAAAGCTGGGTGGACAACAGCATGAAGCAAAAGGAGTAACTGCCAATGTAGAAAAAACCAAACCAAACAAGTTGCCATTGCATCACCCCAACTCATGGTGCCCCCATGTGTGTCAGAGTAGAACTGTGCTCCGTAAGGTTTTCAGTGGCTGATTTTGTGGAAGCAGATCGCCAGGCCTTTCTTCCAAGGTGCACCTGGGTAAACTGGGACGTCCAACATTTTGGTTAGCAGCTGAGTGCATTAACTATTTGCACCACTCAGGAACGGAAGTAACCACCAATGCAGAAACCACTCCCCCTCAAAAAAAAAAAAACAAAAACCCAAACCAGTCGCCATCAAGTCGATACTGACTCATGGTGACCCCACGTGTGTCAGAGGAGACCTGTGCTCCACAGGGTTTTCAATGGCTGATTTTGTTGAAGCAGGTCGCCAGGCCTTTCTTCCGAGGTACCTCTGGGTGAACTTGAACCTCCAACTTTTGGTTAGCAGCCAAGCACTTAGCCATTTACACCATCCAGGGATGGGAGTAACTGTCAGTGCAGAAAACAAACAAACAAAAAAAAACCCAAACAAGTTGCCACTGAGTCGATTCCGACTCCTGGTGACACCATGTGTGTCAAAGTAGAACTGTGCTCCACAGGGTTTTCAATGGTTATGACCTTTTGGAAGCAGACTGCCAGGCCTTCTTCTGAGGTGCCAAATGGGCGGGTTGGAACTGCCAAGTTTTCGGTTCGTAGTTGAGGGCTTAACCATTTGCACCACCCGGGGACCTGTGGACAGAGAAAGACGCCCTGGAATCCCGTCCTAGGAGGTGACAGGTTTATCCTGAACAACAGCACTCCGTGACCTCCCTCCTACTCCACTCATTCTCTGGCAGCTCCAGTCTCTGGCATGGGGTCGGGGGGGGGGGTCATGTGTCCTGTGACCATGGCGAGCAAGTGTGATTACTGCTGACACTACCCCTTGGCCAAGAATGTGCCCCACAGCCCTGTGGTCCCTCCACCCGGCCACACGCCTGTGTATTTCTTCAGAGCTGCACACGTGTCACACCCCAAGGCTGTTACATGTGCTTTCCTGCCAGGGCCGCCACACCCATGTCTCTTATCACTGCCACCTGAGTGACTCTCAGGTGCTCCTACCTAGTTTTCTGATCCCCCGATAACCTTATAGGTCTCTGTTGTTGTTGTCGGGTGCCATCAAGTCAATCACAACTCATAGCGACCCCATATACAACAGAACAAAACACTGCCCAGTCGTGCGCCATCCTCACAATCATTGTTATGCTTGAGCCCATTCTTGCAGGCACTGTGTCAATCTACCTCATTGAGGGTCTTCCTCTTTTTCTCTGACCCTCTACTTTACTAGGTGGTGTAAACAGTTTACACTTCACTGCTAACCTAAAGGTTGGAGGTTCAAACCCACCCAGCAGTGCCATGGAAGAAAGGCCTGGCGATCTGCTTCCATAAAGATTAACCTGTTGCCGTTGAGTCTATTACAACTTATAGTGACCCTATAAGACAGAGTGGAACTGCCCTATAGGGTTTCCAAGGAGCAGCTGGTGGATTTGAACTGCTGACCCTTTGGTTAGCAGCCGAGCTCTTAACTACTGTGCCATCGGGACTCCTCCATTAAGATTACAGCCAAGGAAATGGTATGGCACAATTCTACTCTGTAACACACTGGGTCTCCATGAGTTGGAACCAACTTGACAGCAATGGGTTTGGTTTTTGTGGTATTTGATACCCTCACACATTAAAAATGTGGAATCGCATTCTAACTGTAAAAAGTATATAGATTTTTTCATCCTAGAGGAAGACAAAAGAGCCCTGGTGGCGCAGTAATTAAGCGCTTGGCTGGTAACAAAAAAGCCGGTGATTCAAACCCACCAGCAGCTCAACAGGAGAAAGATGTGGCAGTCTGCTTCCGTAAAGATTACAGCTTTGGAAACCCTAAGGGGAGTTCTACTCTGCCCTATAAGGTCACTATGAGTCGGAGATGACCCAACGGCAATGGGTTTGGTTTGTTTTAGAGGAAGACATCCTTCCTGAGGGTCTGTCTCATCTTCCCCAGGGTCAGGGAGACCCTGTGTCTCACTGAGCTCCGCAGTCATCCTGGGAGGCAAGGAGATTGTTCCACCTTACAGGTGGACAAGTTGAGGCCGAAAGAAGGGCAGTGGCAGGTCCAGAGTTTTGTAGCCAGGAAGAGTGGGAGGCACACAGCGAGGCTGGGACCCAGCTGATCCCAACTGGGGGTCTTCTCCCTGGGCTGGGCTCCACTCTGGGCTATTTTGCCATTGTCCCTCTACCCAAAGCCTCGCCAGTCTCTACACGTCCCTCTGAGAACCACTTTCTCCCTGACACTCAGCTTGCTAGCATCACCCCCTCCCAGATCACTGCTGAGTTCCTTGGGGGCCCCTGCACACACCCACTTCTTGGGGGTCCCAACCCTGCATCTTCCCTACTGCCACCCCCACTCCACTCACTCTGGGCCGCAGCTGTCTCCTGGAGGGAGTGGGTCATTTGGGTAAAGATGTCGTGCAGGCGGCCTCTCTCATCGTAGTCTGGGGTGGGGGGAGGGGCATCAGATGGCAGGAGTTTGGGGAGCAGCTTCCCCCAACCCTGTGTCCCTAACATGGACATTCTCTGTCTCTCTATCATCTTTCTCTCCCTCTGAATCTGTCCCCCCACCCCGTAAGTCTCTATCCCCCTTCTCTCTGAGTCTCTACCCACCAAGTCTCTGGGTTGCTATCCTTCCTGATTCTCTGTCTCCCTCCCTCCGTGTCTGGGTCGCCCTTTCTCCGGTTCTCTGTCCTCCCCTCTCTCTGGGTTTCTGTCCTCCTCTTTCTAAGTCTCTATTCCTCTTTTTCTAGGTTTCTGTCCTCCCCTCTCTCTGGGTCTCTGTCCTCCCCTCTCTCTGGGTCTCTGTCCTCCCCTCTCTCTGGGTCTCTGTCCTCCCCTCTCTCTGGGT